TATGTGTGATGCATGTTTTATCAATTCTGTTAGCATGTACGAAATATTGTAATTCGTATTTTTTTGATAAATCCATTGGCAATCTAATTTAGAATAATTATATCATTATGGAGATCCATAATTGTTGCTAAATAACAGCAGTTGAGTGATGGATATTCAGTATAATTCTTCGTATTAATGCATTTATGAAAATAATGATGTGATTGGTTATAAAGTGAATGATGTTTTGTATGAATGAGTTACCAATAATGAAATCGTTATTTCTGTTTGTTGGTTGTTATGTTGCTGTTGGTTTGGGTTTTGTTGGTGGTTGATATTTTTTCCACCCAAATAATTAGGTATATTGTTTTGGTTGAAGGTAGTATTAAAAATTTTGTTATACTGAACAGCGGGGAAATCGTATTGTTCCTCAGTCAGTTATTTGGACTGTATATTTTACGTACTAATTTATTTACGATAATATCTACATTATTCATGAGTGCATGAAACAAAACATATTACACCCTGCCGCGACGAGCCAACGAAAAATGTTTTGGAAACTATAGCGACATCGAGAAAAGAAGTGGGGCCTCTGAAATAGATAATCCACGGTTCCAAAGAGGTGATAATCGAATAGCGATATCTGCGACCGCGACGATCTGCCACAAAGATACATCGGTGGCTGGATTGTAACATAAAAGCCATGGCGTCTTATGTTCAAACGATCCAATTTCTTCCAAATCCAAATTTAGAAGACTTTGCAGCCGCGAGTCCGCTTCACCCGTTTGTGGAAAATAATTTATATTACACCAGTATAGGGATCGTGAAATCATAAGAACCCAATACGGTATAGTCTTGCAGAAAAATATACGACGCAACGATCGGCAGGGATGGAATAACGCCGAGGAATCGCTCAGTGCTACAACATTCGACTGCAGGACGACAGGTCTCTTGTTCAAACCCGAGTGCCCCCTCGTATTTTAACAAGGAGCGTATTCCGTCGTGTTTAAAGTAATGTCCTTCGGACATTCAGCAACGGGGGTATAGCTCAGTGGAAGAACATTCGACTGCAGATAGAGAGGTACCTGATTTTACCCGGGTGCCCCCACTGTTTCGAACAAGGAGTGTATTCCGTCGTGTTTGAAGTGGTGTTCTTCGACCATTCATCAACGGAGGTATAGCTCAGTGGTAGAGCATTTGGCTGCAAATCGAGAGGTCCCTGGTTCAAACCCGGGTGGCCCCTCTGTTTTGAACCTGGTGAGTATTATGTTTTGTTTGAAGTGGTGTTTTTCGACCATTCATCAACGGAGGTATAGCTCAGTGGTAGAGCATTCGACTGCAGATCGAGATGTTCCTGGTTCAGACACGTGTGCCCGCTCTGTTTTGAACCCGGTGTGTATTATGTCTTGTTTGAAGTGGTGTTCTTCGTCCATTCATCAACAGGGGTATAGCTCAGTGGTAGAGCATTCGACTGCAGATCGAGAGGTCCCTGGTTCAAACACGCGTGCTCTCCTCTTTTTTGAACCAGTAACCCATTCTGTTGTGTTTGAAGTGGTGTTCTTCGGCCATTCATCAACGCGGGTATAGCTCAGTGGTAGAGCATTTGATTACAGATCGAGATGTCCCTGGTTCAAACCCAGGTGCCCCATTTGTTTTGAAACGGTGTGTATTATGTCTTGTTTGAAGTGGTGTTTTTCGGCCATTCATCAACGGGGGTATTGCTCAGTGGTACAGCATACGACTGCAGATCGAGAGGTCTTTGGTGCAAACCCGGGTGCCCCCTGTGTTATGAACCAGGTGTGTATTATATCGTGTTTGAAGTGGTGTTTTTCGGCCATTCGTCAACGGGGCTATAGCCCATTGGTAGAGCATTCGACTGCAGATCGAGATGTTCCTGGTTCAGACACGCGTGCCCCCTCTCTTTTGAACCAGGTATGTATTATGTTGTGTTTGAAGTGGTATTCTTCGGCCACTCATCAACAGGGGTATAGCTCAGTGGTAGCGCAATTAACTGCAAATGGTGTGTCCATTGTTCAAACGCTTTCTCCCGCTCTGTTTTGTAGTCGGGTTGTAAACCAACAGCATGGACGGACGTGATCGTCGGCACACACGTACTAGGGATATAGTTCAATGTTAGAGCAATACTCAGGATGTAGGAAGCACGTGATTCCAATATATGCGTATCACGGAAGATGGGCGCCTTAAGTTTGTTTGAATAAAGTTACATTATTTATTGTGCAGGTAATTTAAATTATATCGAAGTAGTATGAGCGTGTTTTCTACGGAAAAATTTTCTTTCTTTCTTTAATGCAGATGGTGTTTGAGGGAATATAGCGCGGGGTGTTTGAAGTGTATGATTCTAGTCTAACTCACCCTAAATAATGATTTTAATCGTTTGCGGTTTAAATGAGGTGCGATATTTGATTTAATTGTGTTTAACACACATTTGTTGGATTCCATAACACTTTTAGTTCCTTAAATATTTAATATTTCTTTTCAACATTTATATTAAGTAGAGTTGTATATGAATACATTGAAATTTTTCAAAATTTTGGCGAATTTTTTTAGAAATAAGTGATTATTGTAGGAAGGGATGTGTTCGGTTGTTATGTCAAACACTGTGCCACGTTTTTGTCATATTGTGTTTCGAAAGTACTTGTTGTTGTTCTTTTCTTGGGTTCGCATGTATCGTTGTGTTAGTTTTGTTCATGTTTTAATCACGTCAAAGTTAAATTTAATTCCGTTTATTTTCTCTTTTTTGTTTTTCAGTTAATGATGAAAAAATTATTTTCTTTTTGAATGTTTAATTCATTTTTCTTTAAAAATTAATTTATAATTTTGAGCTGCCTTTCCGCCGCGAGCAGCTATGTTTTGTGTGAATCAGATCAGGTTTTTCCGTAATCCCGATCGATTTTGTCATAGTGGGAACTTTAAATAATTTGTTTAATAGTCCAAAATGGATTCCAGTTTGAGAAGAACACCTCCACCTCTCGGGAAATAACATGCACTACCATTTTCGGATTAATTACAATTGTTTATTCTTGTGTATTCAGAACTAAATAAGCCACCATTGGTTCAAAGAATTCTCAATTACCTCCCCTTTAATAAAGAAGCTAAAGTTAGACATCAGAATTCGTGACATAATGTATTTTTGTTAACATTTTTGGATGTCTGTAACGTATTAATTAAATTTACATTATTTCTTATATACGCATGGGTTACGTTTTAGTACATTCACTTTTCATCAGACCTTTTCAAAGGTCATGAAATAGTATTATTTATTTTATTTAATATGTAATAATTACAGACAAATTAGCTTACTTGATCCTATGTGGCTAGGCCGAAGGCCTTTAAGCCATTACAATACCTACATCCTTTCGAGTTCTAATCTTTCGAATTCTGGTATTCACCCCAAATGGTCTCTCCATCGCATCAAAGCCGCGGAAAAGAGACCATAAGGTACATGGAAAATCTTATCAACCTAAATGCCAATGTTTCTTTTCTTTGCAGCGGATCTCGTTGTTCCTGCAGGAGCTAGGGTGATTGTATCTCTAAAGACTATGCATGAGGACGCCAAATTGTTCCCTGATCCACACGTGTTTGACCCAGAAAGATTTTCTCTTGTGAACTCGGCCAAACGACACCCATTCGCCTTTATTCCGTTTGGTGCAGGGAAGCGTGCTTGTCCTGGTACGTACAAATTATTGAAATAAAATCATGTGAATTTTGTTGAAAATATGGACAGTTGCTTATTAAAGTAAAGACAATTTGAGAAGTTTTATGTGAGAAACTGCTCAATTTTTCTTTCTATATTGTTTCCTGATTAAACTTATCATGTTTGTTGTTTGAATTAGATGGAACTTACGAGTGGAATGTGATAAGGGGGAGAATATAAATTATTTGCTACTTTTAATTTTCGCGCCCCTATGAAGGTACTTCAAGAGAAGAAAAAGTTATGTGATCGCGCGCTGGAAAAGAACGAATTTGCGACAGAAATCTCTTAATGCCTGGTTCTGGAAACAAAAGGTGGATAAATTCCGTTGCTAAATATAGAAAAAACATCTTCTGAAACGTGGTGTATACAGAATCCAATTTTTTTGGGTACTAGATACCGACAAATTAATTGATGGGCAAACGTCTGTCCGTCAGACTGTCTCTGACCATCTATGGCCAACGCTGGCATCTAAACCGTTCAGCCGATTTTCTACAGAATTGATATTCCCCCATCAATCTGAATGGACTCAAAACTTTGGGAGTTTCAAACGAATATTTCAATTATTGAAGGTATTTTACGCGAAGTCTCGATAAAATGTTCTCAAAAATGGTACCAAATGTTTTGATACAGCTTTGTCCTCAAATGGTTTCAAGATCACGTAATACAACGGCCTAGATCTCATGTTCAATCAAATCCTGAAGTTTTCAAAAATTGCAATTTTTTGAGGGTGTCTTCCTACTGCTATAAAACTTTTGAATGTCCTTATATTTGCTCAAAATTACTAGAAAATTACTCACTTTTCTTATTCTCAAAAAATTGAACATGATCTTATTTCACTATCTGTCTTTGATAAAAGATTTCAGAAAGGAAAAACACACTATCTTCAATATTATAGTTGTTGGAAAACGCCCCCCAAAAATTGGACTTTTACAATTTTTGTAAAATCTGGGATTTCAACGAATATGAGTCTTACATCTTTCTCTTAATCGTCCTTTACGTTATTCGAGGTCAAAGATAAATCAAAAAATTAGAAGCCATTTAAAAAATATGAAAATACGTTTAAGGCTTCATGTAAAGTACACTCAAAAATCACCGGGTTTGACTTTGATAAAAAAACAAAAAACAAACAAACGAAGTGGCTGTCCTTCGGGAACCTCTTCTAACTTTGGTGCGCCGACGTCCTTTGTTTTCCCAAGAGGTCGGTCCTGCCTATGTCCGCTCGCAGCCCCTTCTTGCGGCCAAAAACCCACTTACTCAGTTGTGAGTCCCAAGAACACGACTCTGCATTCTTGCACCAGTGTGGCGAAATCTCTGCCGGAGCTCGTGCCGACCGGTGCAATTGAGTGAACCTTGGAGGGAGGGCCGCGAATTCAACACGTCGTTCTCAGGGCCGGCGTGCCTTTAAGTTATATTCACTAGTACTGCTATGGGAACACGGGAGACGTTGTAATGCCCTTCATCTCTCTCTTTCTCCTTCCCTTTTACTGTATGTCTGTCTCTCTTCGTCTCTCTCCGCCTATCTGTATGTCTGTCTGTCTGTCTCTCTCTCTCTCTCTCTCTCTCTCTCTCTCTCTGTCTCTCTCTGTGCCTGTCTCAGTTTGTCTGACTGTCTCCGCCTCTCTCCTCCTTTATACGTAGTAGTAGATTCTGCAAGTGTCTGAGCAGGTGGGGTAACGTGGAGGAGCGCTGATCAAGCAAAAATTTAATAGATCTGATCCTCTAGATTACGGTGTGAGAACCGTTTCTTTGAGAACTTTACACTTAAAATTTTAGTGTTTAATGCACTAGAACTCTTTGTATACAAGTTATTTAATGGTAGAGAGTCAAAAAAACCCTGCTAGATGTTGCGGGTTACATTTGACATGAACATTTAGATTCTTTCTTTTTTTAATTTTTCCGATACTCATTTTATTAATTCTGCTATTCCGGCGAAGATGAATCCAACAAATCAGAGGTAACTAAAATTGGCGCAGCCGTTCTTGAGTTATAAATGGTGTAACTACCCCGGCTTTGTTTCATTTGCTTAGATATTATTGTCGGAACTTTTCTATTTCTGAGACAATGTACATTATCAGTGAAATAAGCAACGATATTATCTTTAATAATTATTATTATATTTATTACTATTTGATTATTTTATAATCAGATCCTTGTACATTTTGGAGATATAACAACATAAGTGCTTATTGAAAAGTTGTAGTTCACCTGGCATTTCAGATTAGAAATATTTCATACAATAGAAAAACAGTTAATTAAATTACAGTTTAAAAACTTTATCTTATTTAAAATTAATTTCATTTATTTTTCTACTAGACGTAAGCTCAAAGAATTATAGGAAACAAAAGTCAAAAATAAACAAAAAATCCTGACATTACGAAGTTAACCCATTAATAAAAAAGTAGGAATTTTAGTTGGGCCTGGGTACATTTAACACTTTAAAAAAAGTTTATATGAACTTTCACTACGAGGTAAAATGTGCTTATCAATGAGTCTGTAAAGTCGCTTCCAGATAAACCTTATTTAGATTAAAATATATTTATCTACATTGATTAAAAGAGGAAAATAACAATCGACTTTTGCAAAGCTACCAGTATTTTTACTGCCATTTAACGCTACTGTTATATTAAATCGGTCCTTCCCAAAATATTGATTTAATATAGGGAAAAGTACATTGTAATGAGACTTTTACCGTCGCCTTTGTAAAATATCATTAATGCCGTAATCAAATAATGTACAAGATCCGATAATAAATATTTTATGCGATTCTAAATAAATTATTCATTTTTCTTTTTACTTTTGCAGGAAGAAAATATGCGATGTTGTCTTTGAAGACGGTTATCAGTAAAGTTATTTGGAATTTCCGGATTCTACCAGATGAAACGTATGAACCACAGTTACTTTGGGGAATCACTATGGTTACGGCCAATGGAATGAGGATTAAACTTCTGAAGAGATAAACTTGCCAAAGAGAATGAAGAAGAGTATCTCCTTTCAATACTGTCCGGTACTTGGAGAACATGGGAAACGGATGGAAGGGAGGTGGTCCTCAGAAGAGAGTGCAGTAAAATACAAGGAAATTTTTAAGGAAGAAATACTTCACGTATTTAGACAAATGCAGTCAAACCTACTGATAACAGAAGAGAACATGAGAGTTCCAAATGTTCGTTAAAGACAGGTTTCCGTTATTACCAAATTTTCAATAATTTTCTTAGCAAAATAAAATAGACGACATAAAATAATGATTTTTTTAAATAAGTATTTTACGTAGTACATATAACATACATTTTTTTGAAATAGTTTACACACATTTCCATAAAAGAATTTCAATGAAAATAATCTAAAAACGATGATTGATTTTCTTCGTTCTTTATTAATGCTTACTTTTCAACATCAATTCAAACTGTAGTAAACGTATTTTATTTTGATAATCAATCCTTTTGATTGGAAGTCAAATATACTAAATAATTATCTACCGCATGTATGAATTGAAATATATAAGAATAATCATAAAGTATTTATGAAATGTGGATGGTTTAACTCCTATTGGTGGTCAAGTTATATCTAAATCAATGATACGAGCTGAACTGAGCTGAACTTATATGAAAAAATGTCGGGGAAAATTAGATGAAGAAAAATATTTGTTATAATAAACAGAATTATTCCTTAACGTAGACCTTTCACTGTTATTTTGTAAGTTTATATATACTTCAAACTTTTGATGTGTATACGTGACTCACGATATATTTTAATGTAATTTTCTTTTTTCCGTCGCTTCTTTTTCCTATCGTATCCAGATGTTATCTCCGAAATTATTTCCAGCCACTCACCTACTGAACTGTGATCGCTGTTTTTTCTCTCCTACGCAGTTTTTCAAGATACTTGAACGATTCCAATCATGCATTTAAAGCCTTAAAATTAATATAGCCTAACTTATTAGGATTTCAATAGCTTTGGCATGCCAAATGGGCGCTGAAATCGGTACGTTCTTTGCCCGCGTTGCAACGGACCATTTCCATGTGAACATCACATGCAGAAAATTGCCTGTCATTCACGAATACATAATACACTTCAATTAATTTGGCCACAACGTTTCCTTTGACAGCCAGCTTTATACAAAACACCGATGTTTTATTTACAATCACATCTTCATTCATTACATCACACCATCAATAAACTCCTTATGATGTGATTGTAAACAAAAAATGATTGTGTTGTATTAAGTTGTCTATCAAAGAAACCCTTGCGGCCAAATTTATAGAAGTACATTCCCATGTGAGCTTTAACTCTTTCGGTTTTATTTATAGCAGCCCTTCATCTGGAGAAAGATGAGTTCCCTTGCAATCATTTGTCGAGAATACTTGTAGATTCTTTGCCTCGCAAAACCGTCTACACTTGTGTCTTATTAATTCACAAATTGCGTGGATTGTCACTCTTTCTTTGCATTCTAACGCTTCCACATATTCTCGTATAGCGAGAACCACTTCAAAGTCTTATTTATAGACAGTTCAACAGCTTCAGGGATTCAGAGGAAACTGAAGCTTTTCAGAGAAGCCTCTTGGTCTGGGAGAGAAAAGGCAGCACATGCGTCGTCGAAATTGGCATCCCTTCAGGGATTTTGTTATTTATAGCAGATCACGCTGCGTGCCCCAAGGAGTTATAAAGGCCAGTCAAACGCCTTGACTTGCCGCAACACTCAGGTCTCCAGTTCAAAATAAGGTGAAAATGGAACGTTTCCACGTACCGCACGTTCCGTTAGTAGCAGATAAAGTTATATTCATTTTATATATCAAACGCATAAGACCGAAATATTATTTAAGTTGAGTGTAGTTATCCGTTATTACCAGGCTTCGTTTTCGACTACAAATAACTAGAACATTTCCTGGTGGCAGCCATCCAAAAAAAACACTAGAAAAAATTTTTATTAGGAAATCATTTGCAGATGAGGTTTGTGAGATTAACAACAAGAAAAAAGTGATCTGCCTCCTTCAAACCTATTTGAGAATATGTTTTTACCGCTTTGGGTGGAAAGCCAAAGCCAGCCACGAATTCTTAGGACATAAAATCTATCATGGATTTAACTCCAGGAGATGCTGAAGACTTCTACATCGCTTTGCTGGAAAACGACAATGTGGAAGACGATGTCAATGGTTTTAGTCTGTTACCAGATTTTTATTTTGAATCAACGATATGTTGTCGTTCATGTAGATGAATAATTATTGAGACAAAATAATAAACTGAAGTTGAAACGTAAAACATTTCTTGATTCATAACTGAAGAATAGATTTTCATTTATTTTGCATAAAGGTACCAACCCACAAAAATGTGTAATTTCTTAGTATTAAAAATTCTTTGAGGGGCCATTTTTGCATTACATACGTGCTCTGTAAAATTCTGTTAGTTGAAATAACCTGTCTATACATATTTTTATTTCTACATTTTCATTAGCTACATAATTTTAAGCCCATTTTTCTCAGTTCGATTTTTTGTGGCTTGGTTCCTTTCTACATAATGTGGAATAAAGGTCAACACTAATACATTGTATCTATACAATGAACTTCCATTTTTTTCCTGGGCCTTTTTACAGGTTCAAGGGATGTCGATTTCGACTGTCGAGTATGCATTCTGCTCCTCATGGGCACACACATACTTTTACACTAGACACTGACATTTGCGGGCTCCTCAATCTGGAGTCTCCAGGCTCACAAGGTCTTCCGCAACAACACACATACATAAAAGACAAGGAACAAACAACCATGCCCACGACGGGACTCGAACCCGCTGAGTTAGCACACGCTCTAGCCTCTTCGATCATCCATGTCGGCTGACATTAAACTACCATAACCCTTTATATGGTCATATGACCTTGATTGTATATTGTTCAGTTTTGCATCCACCCTTCCTTCTTCACTGTTGCGGTGTAGTTATTTGACCTCGAGTGTGTATGTGGAAATCCGTCTCTTCATTCGTTTATTTTCTTAGATGTTAAAGATAGAAGATGAGAATATACACGATTAGGAAAATGATGGAATAAAGTGATGAAGAGTCAACTACTTGTGTTAGAATGGGTAAAAAAGTCTATTAAAAAAGCAGAATACTCTATGAGTATTCATGTTCCTTCCCTCACCACTGGTGGCGATCAATGATCGGCAAAGAAACATGAATACAAGTTTTCAAGTCTATGATGTGAAGTGGGTGCGTAACAGCACGTTTTCACAGTTCCACTATCAATAAACTCGTTCATGTTCTATCTGAAGCGCGTTTGAATGAACACAATGTGCATTTAAAACAAATTTCCTTCACCATGACCGTAATTTAAATGCCCTACGAATCGAGAAGAACCTTGTAGAATACATTATTTTATTCATACTGAGGTAGTATATTTATTAAATGCCTTTGCAAATATATTGTAAAACTGAAAAAATATCAAACGTGTGAAGCGTTGCTCTTTAACACATAGAATATTACCATACATAAATTAATAAAACCATCAATAAATAGCTTCGTACATATATTTCAAATGACATACATTAACACAGACTCAATAATAAATACCCTTGTTCCAAACCAATATAAAGTGATCTTTAAACAACACGTCATCGTTATTAACCTTAAAGAACTAATACCGTCTCCACCGCTCTATTTGTGTATGCTTCGATGTTGCGCGCTTCTGTTAATCTGAATACTGGAGTACTATACATAAGTGAAAAAAGTTGAATACTGATTTATTTGTGACTGTCACGCTGAGTGACATTGAACTGTTTTGAAGCATTTTGTATGTAGTCCACCATATATTAATCTGCTGTGGTGGGCCATTTTTAATTAAGAAAATCGCTCATATTTTAATTTATAAATGTAGAGGGTTGATCTTTAGGTTGGCACGGTCCTTTGAATCACTGTTCCAGTTCTTTAGATAGGAATTGATTCCATTAACTAAATCCTATGTACGTATTAGTCGCGCCCAGTAAAATTTATAATCTTAACGCAATACATTATATGTTAAATTGCATTTCATTATCATATAAAACTTAAACTTGTAATATCAGAGGATACGCCCCTCAAACCTGCCATTTTAATGCTATAAACTACTGAATACAGTAAAGTTCATAATGTTAACACATATAAATATTAAAAATAAATTCTATTTCACAAACACATGCTACATAATGTTTCATTATTGAGATATATCACTTCTCAAAGACATTTAATAACAAAAAACAAGTCGTCTATTTTTTAAACATGTATTTCTTAATATGTTAAAAATATCAGCATTTTTATAGAAAAAACAAAAACAAACTCGCATTTTCGTGGAAATTATAAATTTTTAATAATTTTTAGATAATTACTGAATTTTTGCTTATCCTTTCTCCACTTTAAACGACACGTGTACTCAGAAAGGTAGCTACCAAAATTACTTTCAACTTTGTGGCTTGGAATTCCACGCCACAAAATTGGAAGTAATTTCGACAGCCACCTTCCTGAATACCCCGCTTAATGACATTCCAATGCGAAAGACCTTCATCATTAACTCAATTGACTGTGACTCGTCTTCCAGTGTTTATTAACTTTGCTTAATTAGTCTTGGAAAAAAACTAGTGAACAACATGAAACAATAGTGACGTTTTCTGTTCCATTTCTTTCACGGCAAACGGGTTCAGATTGTAATCTTAAAGTTTTGTACCTTTTTCACTTTCTGGTTTACGTAGTAAGTATAAGGAATAATAAAAAGTATTTTAGAGAAAGTTATGCAAGCAAGGGCACGCCGAGTTGGATCTCAACCTGAAGCCCCAGAGCCGGAGGAGGCGCACTTGCTTCAACCTGAAGGCCTATAATACCTCGTATCGTATCGTATAAAACTATTAAGCCCTTTGCATTCTATTTAACATGACGCATAAAAACCTCATGATCGTCCGTAACATGTCAGGGAGTTTTGCACGTTCATATCTTCTATTATATTCGT